GCTCCAGTCGGTGAAGGTCGCCTTCGTGAGGCATCGGGCTGCGAACCGCTAAAGAGGACCGCTCCTAGGAATTCGAACGAATTCGCCGATCGAATAGGAGTGCCGTTGATTTTTTAGCGTCAATGTTGTTTTATATGGTTAGACCATATAGAAATTGCATTCGATCAGCTATTGCTCAAGAGCGAATGCCAGTCAGAACTACTTCGAGCTTGCTTTCGATGTGTTTTGGTTTTGTATCGGAATAATTGATAGAAGCGTGATCTGCAGAGTTCTATGGGGCTATACTCGAGGGCCACCGCGTTACCACCTCTACCGACATTGTCGCATCAGGATACGAAAGGGATTTTTTTTGGTTGGATGGCATGATGAGAACTTCATTGCCACGAGAGAGCACAAGTATAAACTCGGATGTTCAATTTTGTACAGCATGTTCGTGACTGATTTATTGCTTTTGAAATGTTCAAGATAAAATGCTTTTGAAAGGAACACCGAACCAATGCATTTAAATCAGGTGATTGCTGAGTTTCGTCACTGCAATAAACCGCGAGTGTCATTTACGAAACGCAGACCGTTTGATATCGAGCAAGTTAATGGGACCCTTGGAAGGCAGAAAAGCGAAAGGAAGAAGCGAGCAATAACCAATCAGGATGATGATCTCGTCGGAAGCATTCGCGCGGACGCAGAGGAAGGTTTTATGGCTGGGAATGCACACGCGCCGATTGGCTGTTCGGGGATTTCGCGATGCAAGGGATCTAGAGGACTTTCCGATCCTCGGCAAGGAGAGATGTGGAGAGGTGTGGAGAGGAGGGGAGGGGTGTGGAGAGGAGGGGAGGGGTGTGGTAGGGTGAGGAGGGGAGTTGCATCACCTTGTAACTCCAAGTTGATGGAAGGCATGTCCTTTACGGTGTTAAATGCAACACAATTAAATGAGATGTTAAGTTCTTCGAGGGGGGTTTCAGGCAAAATAAGGAAATAATGTTCGATTCTTCAAGCTCTCCCTAAAATGTCTGATAACTATCCGGTTCAATTGCAGTTTGATCTGAAAAAAAAGTTGCTTCATGGAGGAAGTAGTGACGGCACGAACTTTCGAACGACTCATTCTGTAAAATGTTTTAGTGGCCTTCAGACCTTGTCTCTAATCCCCTTTGGTGCTCGTGTTTCATGAGGGTCCTGACTGATCTGGTGATCTTCATTCGAGCGAGTCCGTCTCCATCTATGAAGTGCTTTCGGTTTATACAGATTATTCTATGGCACGCATCAGCGATGCAAATGTCATTTATGTCAGCTGTGGGATCATCGTGACATATCCATGACATGTCCTTTAACAGTGATGCATGATGCCAGTCACAACGATGATGTCGCGGCAGCCCCAATATTCCTTAACCGGTTTGCCATAGAGAAATCCGACGAACATGTCGGATGACGTAATGGCTTAGGTCTCCGGAATGAAACGTAGAATGGGCTTCATATTTGACACATGCAGAGCTAGAAAGTACAGTAACGTGGTTTTGAAGTTTCAACTGTCTGCATTACAAAATAAAGGAAAGACGTCAAATAGAAAACATAGGAACTTGGGTAAAATTGTAGCCGCTCTTCCCGCGCGAAATACCTTCACGTGATTGGCTCTTCCAGAAAGAGCCCTCCACTGCACTGCGTCTCCTGTCACGAGTCAGAGAAGCAATGAAAGCCTTTCTCGTCGGCAGAGACTTGAAGGGGGGCCCGTGAAGGTCTTTATTTACCCCGTGAAGGTCTTTATTTACGGCCGCGCTTGGGATTTTTAAAATATATTTCCCACTCATCCAGTCCAGCCTGATTCCTTATCATTTTCCTATCGACGCGCTAATAGAGGAATGAGATCTCCCTACACATAAATGCACGAAAGACCTGCCAATCCATCTGTAGAGCCCAGCAAAATACGATTAAAACCTATAGCCACGGTTTTTTTCTTCAAACATCGACCAAGAAAATGGCTTCTGTACCGTATATTAATGAGCAAGATGCTTAAATTGTACAAGAAAACATTATCTGATCTCTCCATTTTTTTTATTCATGCCAAAACATTTTCAAGTAAATGAACGAGCAAAGAATACCAGGCAATTTTCTCGGCGCTATGCTTGCTTGTTAAAAATTCCCCGAGAGAAACTAACCGTTAAACCTTTTGATGACCCGGAAATAAAGATTTGCGATTTCTGCGATCAGGATGGACGCCGAATGAAGAGACCACTTATGCCACACGGAATGACCTCATACTGCTAGAGTCTTGAGGTGCAATTGGGGTATACACGATGCAAGGTTGTGGTTCGGGTGAACCGAGTGGGAACAGGTGTCACTCATCAGATCAACATCGGGTATCGGAGTGGTCGCAGGGAAACATGTACAGCAACAAATTTGATAGAGTGGAGGGAATCAGATGCGTGGGAGTTTTTCAAGTGACTTTTGCTACCAGCAATTGATTGGATTCTTTGTAGGGGGGAGTCTTATAGGCGATTAGTCTATCATCGTGGGGATTTCTGTCCTTCTGGATGGTTTCCTGGCCTTCGAGTGCAAAGCAGGTGGGGTTTAGAGTCGCAGCTTCCTTTGTTTCTGACGACATGTTCTCAAGGAGAAGCGTCTGGGAGAGAGTCCATCTCACCTGACCTGCAGGATATGGAAGGGAATGAACTTCCATGCCTCTTGTGGCATCCCAGGCAAGAGGCGGTGGAGCGCGGTCACCGCGGATGCTGTCGCAGGAAGGGGCTCTCTCGCGGGATTCTCGATGGGAGTGTGAGGGGGGTGTTTGCCTTCGTCGCCGCTTCACGTGGGAGCGGGGAGGAACGTGCTGGAGGGCTGCGTTCTCGGGACAAGATGGATGGACAAGAAAATTATGCTTCTTGTCTGATATATTCTACCGGTGTTCTTCCTCCGCTCCAAGACTCGAATTCGTCTCGACTCTTGAATAATTGAATAACTCAAGGAACCACTCTTCCGTGCTTGCAGTGCTAGCTCTGTACTTGCGACACATTACAGAATCATCGCCAATGCGAGGCAAGTCCATCGGTGTCTCATTTTTCGAAATCGGTCTCTTGTCCAAGGTCGGTTTGCGACAAGAGCAAAATAAAGATCCCAACTGTACTTGGAGATGTCGAGAAAATTTTTTTTTTAGCCAAGTATTGAGGAGAGCACGCTTGATTTCGCCAGGCGTGGCAACGATCCTTGGACTTTATTCTTAACGGTGGGCCAATAGAGGCCGAAAGGAAGAGTTGGTCCCCACGCCACGCCCCACGGCCCGTGAGTTTAGCAAGTATGGATGCCAAATGCATTGCTCGTGCAAGGTAAATGTGACTTGCGGAGGTGGGGATTTGTATGGGAAAGGGCTAATACAGCGTTTCCGGATTGACGTTTACCCAATTAACCTTCTTCCCTGCCAGCCAACTCTACCGGTTTCACTCTGAGAAGGAACAACAAAAAAAAGCAGTGAAACAGTAAGCCCAGTCTGCTTCCTAGTTCTGACGCACACTCTTCCAAATCCATCAGAAGGTACTAGGCAACGGTTATCAGACCAAACGAAGGCTAATTGAATTGGGCAGCTGGGAGGAGGAAACGAAGCAGTCGCACCTCCCCCTCATTACTGCCGTGGTTCCCGAAAATGAGATCGTCATGTCTGCTGACGTCTTCATGACATCTGATTTGAGGAACAATTTGCAACCCTATTGTTAGTGCTGTTGTCAACGGTGCTGGAGAGCTACCTAATTTTACAAATTGCAGTCGTCATTAAATGTGAAGGGGTCTACCGACGAGTGAAACTGATGGAACGACATCCCTTTTTACCGAGAGAGGGAACTGCTTCGACACAACTCGAAGGGAGAGCCCATAGAAAAGTATAGAGATAAAAGTTAGTCCGGAAACACTGTAGACCTATGCATCGCACTAATCCGTTTTCGGTTTAGATTCGTACTCTCCCCCCCCCCCTTCCCTCCCCCTCCGTATAGCGGAGGACGGAGGAAGCACAACTTCCAGAGGAACTGCTCCAAGGGAGAATCCGCGGAATCGCTCATCTGCGAGACGTCCCTGGTCGTCAGGGGGTAGGGGGTTAGGAATTCGACCTGGAAACAGGGTGCTATGACTTATGATGTCTCAATGTGAAGTTCACGTTTAAGTCTATCTCGTAGAAGAGAGATGTCAAGGTTTTCGCAACAAATAATAATCGGAATTGTTGAGCCTATAATCTAAGGTGGGAATGGGACGGACTAACAACCTCTGTTAACCCTAGCCTATGTGAATGGCGGCGCGCATTTCGAGCCTGGGCCTTGTGACACAATTTGGGGGTCCGTTGCGGGCTTGGACTACCGAAAAGCGGTTGCGATGTATCTGTGGTAGCTTATTCCCTGTCCGGACTGGTCAGCGGACAGTGGATGTAATTGGTGCTGTAGTAATTTCGCAAACAGTTCGAGAAGTGCAAACCCCGTCATGAGCTTTTTAGGAGGGTCTAGCAGCTCGGTATTGGCCATCGTTTCCTAGGAACGGCCTAGGCCTATCGTAGCCACGACAAAACCCCATAAATTTGAAGCCAATAGGTGGGCGATCAGCGAAGTGCAGATCTGCTGCTTCTGCTGTTGGAGAAAGACCCAGTTCCTGGATTGTGGTTAGCTAACCGTGCAGAGCGTTGCCCGAGTTGATCCCGAAAACGTTGAACCGTTGGCCTATTTTTCCTATGAGACAGCAACGAAAGCATAAGCCCACTTGGGCGAGGCGAGGTTCCAGGCTAAAATCTATTACCAAGAACAGAAGTTACCGTACTTTTAAAGTAGTAAGGAACACATATACTTAACGTAATACGTAGACGCAACGTTAGGCTAGGCCTTGGGTACCAATCCAAAAAAAAAAACTGGACGGTTCGGAGCAGCGTACCCTTTCTATTTCCTTTTGTCACCTGGCTGAAACATAATGCAGTCATGTATATTGGATCAAAGAAGATGAAAAGTGCACTCCAATGGTACTGCATTAATCATTGCAGCACAGAAATGAAAGCAGTGAATGGGGAAAGAAAGGAGTGTATCATCTCAAGAAGTCAAGCAGAGTGCTCAGTCTTTTTTTAAATTTTTATGGTGATATTTTCATGTATTTCACTTGAGTCAGACGAATTTCACATGACTTGGACATTCAGGCATGAGGAATATCCCATGTAGGAGTGTCCAAGTCAAGTTAAAAATTGTCTGATTCAAGTGAAAAACACTTTAGGAGGCCTGAGGAGGTTAGGCCTCATTCCATTCATGGAAAAAGTTTTTCATGTTTTGAGTCACAACCATAACCAAGTGTCACCCAACAAAAGGTCTAGATGTAATACTAAACCTACTTTCTTGATAAGTCTGTGACAACCTATTTTACCATGGAAAGACAAGGTCCTCTCCCATGCATCCTCTATCCATTAGATAAATTAAACTCATGGAATTCAAGTCCTTGCCTGTTCTGATGTTTGTCATCTAATCCCTTGTTTTCTCCCTCTTCTCTTTTTATGATTAGAAAATGGCCACAGCTGAGATAGCATAATAAGCTAATGCCTATATCTGATGTTTAATTTGGCATAGACCTGTGTACGTATAAGCCAGATTCATTAATCTTGCCTTGATCTGTTGTGTGGTGTGGTCCTGCAGAATGACTCGAAGAAAGAAGAAGGCCAAGCCTTGGTCTGGTATAAAGGAGACCAACAGGTCTCCCTCAGAGCGAAGCAATAAGGCCCGAAAATCTAGAATCACAGTTCCAAGTGGAAGTGCTTATGGTGCAATGAACAGCAAAAAGAAAAAAACTGATGTTTACACAGGCCCTATTGACAGGGTAAAAAAGTGTTCTGAGTGTGCCCACTACTTTTGCAAGCCAGTGGGGAAGTTTTTCATTATTGTAAATGATTATGAGAAAGAGGATATTTACAAGGAAGTTGTGAAGGTAGGCCATGTTCTTTAGTTTGGCTAGTATTTGATTTGTCCAGGTCTTAGAATGTGAGGCAAATTAATCATTCTGAATGCCATGTTGATTATAATTGCTTAAACAGAAGTAGATCAATTGATTTCTGTATTCCTCTGATGTGAATGAAAGTTATTGAATTTTTTTTTGTAGCTGATGGGTGGGAGAATTGCCCAAGAGGAAGGAAGAGACACAATCAATCTTTCTGATCACAATGTTGAGTCGTGCCGTTATCCTGTGTTCTCCGTCGAATTTTTAGTGAAGTGCCGTGAGCAGAAGGAAGTTGTCTCCTTGGATTCATTCCTGTGAGTAGACCCATTGTTGGTTTCTCATAGCTACCAGCAGCCAATGGTGATTTCCTTTAATAAGGGGGCCATTGAGTTAATGTGAGGAGTGGTCAAACTATATGACATGTGTGTGCAACTACATGTAAAATTGCTTGATTAAGATAGAGATTTGAGTTTAAAATGGAGTTGAACAGTTACTGAGAAGCTAATGCCATATATCATTGGGCAGGCTAAGTGAAAGACAATTGTGCTATTTACATTTATGGAAATGTATTCATTTCCCTGCCTTGTATGTTTATGGTTCTCATTCATATATCTGTTAGACAAGTCATCTTGTTTCTTGGAATATATAAGCTTATTAGTTACCAAGTTACATGTGTTCCACTTGAAATCATTACTTAATGTAATTCCTGTTTTATGGCACCCTTGCAATTGCTGTTGTAGTAATATGTAAGTTTAAAATTCTATATAGCTATTGCCACCTATCCACTTAGAGTGGAAATGAGCATTTGTAGCAGCATTTCTCAAATTGTGGGTTGCACTGATGTCATAGGGAGATCTTAAAGTTGCACTAAATCTCTTTCCTTTCCCTGTGCTTACCAAACCACGTGAGGTATTTTTATCATGAGAAAGTTTTCCTGAGGTCCTTTTTATTAATACTAAAACCCCATTGGAGGAATAACCTAGAAACTGATCTTCTGGGGCTTACTTGGTTGAAATTTAGGTTAAAGTAGAGTTGTTAATAGAGATGGGTTATTGACCAGTTTCAATTAAAAACATGACAATTGACTGGTCAATATTGTCAACTATGGTAAAATATGGGCAATAAGGCCAATTTTAATATTTCTTTCCCCTGCATAGTTTGTGCTCCATTTGTATGTCATGACTCACAAATGATAAACTAGCCATGGGAAGTTGAAAGGTCATTATGATCATTTATGACCATCTACAGACAATAATGGTTAGGCCTTATGACTGTATATGATCATAAATAACCATGTTGACCAGTCAACATCTCATTGCTAAGATAGACTTTACCATACAGGTTGCATAAGTTGGAATATTAAACAGTTGTCAATGATGTTTCAGAGATAAATTCTGTGACTAGTTAGTTCCATAAGTACTTGAATAATGAGGAATACAACACATAGTGTCCAAAACTGGAGTTTCTTGGTTTCTGGTATTAGTATTTATTCTTGTTCCTCTCACAAAAAAAAAGAAGCCTCTGCCTTGCTCAAGGAAGTTCTTTTTAGCTAGATTAATTTTTTAGGCACAGACATAGGCATAATCCAAGTAAGTTTACTTGTCCATTGATCACAGACTCTGAGAATAATTTAATGCTCTAATGTAGACTATTGGTCAAGACCATGATAGACTTTGCATTAAACTAAGGTTCTAAAGCTGCAACTTAGATGTTGAACCTTAACTTTCAAAGTCATTAAGGCTGTAAGACCTTGAACAGCAGGCTATGCACATACTCAATACCACTTAGTTGAGAGGTCATGGTAGTTTGAGCATTAGCTATAATATTTTCATACCCATTGGGTGCCACAGTCCAGATGTTTGGCAGGCTGCATGAATATAACTTTAAAATGGGACTGGCTCTTTGGTTTATTTACAAGGAAGGTGGTAACACCCATAGTTGGAAAAAAATTTCAGTTGCACTTTCACCTTCAATCCTTCATCTCATCTCTCCTTTGTTTCTTTTGCTAGTGGATATTATGATGACATATTTCAAGTTGTTGGTGTTCTTATTTCATCTTAAGGAATGAAAACAGAGGCTTCCAATATTTATTTGTCCTATGATCAATACATTCCTATGGAGGAATAAAAGTACCAGTCACCATTGCTCTTAAATACCTGTCTTGTAAGCTGACACAGTTTTACATGATTCACCTTTATTCTCTCTACTTTTTAAGGTTTTCAAAAGACCAGTACTTTCTGCAAGTGTCCCCAAACAAAGTCCTTGAGGGGGAAGAGTTATGGCCAGATGTCACTATCAAGTAAGTTCTGTTTATGATCCTTGTAGTCACTTGTCTGTATGTGCATCCAATGCAATTGCACATCTGATGTCCATCTCATCAGTCATTTCAGCCCTGATCATTAGAGAGCATATATATTCTGCACCTGGAAGTGCTTCATGCATGCATCTAGGATGGATTCGTTATGGATTCTTGTACTACCTACTTTGTTTATATGCATCAGATGATGGCTACATCTACGAGATTGGCCAAAAAAAGTAAGCCACTCAAAATTTTAATGTAAAATCCAAATTCTTTTACTTATCAACTTGAAAATTCAAAGAGATGTTGCCTAATACATTCTTCAAAAGATCTTGAATTTTCATGTATCTGTGACTACCCTGCTTGAGTGATGGAAGATTTTGTAAAAAATATCACATTTCTTAATGAACCAGCCATACAATTTGCAAGATATGAATTTTGCTTAAAAAATCAGTTCCTATTGATGGATCACCAAGATATTGTCATATGTATCTTTTTGACCATCTGAAAATTTCATGCATGCATGTGTACAAATTTTCAGGCATTCCCATGCAAATGTTATGCAATTTTTTGATACAGACACCTGCATGCCAAAAGCTTTAAATTCCTGCCTTTTTTATGATGTTGCACCATGTCAAAAGAAAAATTTGTTTTCAGATGCAACCTCTATGTTATTTGTTGAAAGTTGTAAGTTATTCTATTGTTCTGCTTCATTACATGGTGTGGGATCCGTGAAGTTTTTTTTTTTTACAGTCAGGTGTCTTCACACGGTGTCATAACATTTGCATGGAAATGTGTGATATTTCATGTACATCCATGACATTTTCAGATTTTTATTGTGAAAAACATGCATATTGCAGCATCCTTATAAGTTTTCACAGTGATCTACCTACAGGAACTGATTTTTAAGCAAAAGTCAAATGTAAATTAATTCTTTGCAAATGCCTGTTCACTTTGAATTTTGAAAATTTTTACAAAATCTGCCATGACTCAAGCATGGATCAATGTAGGTGTTTCATATTTTAGGAGCTCTTGAAGGACATATTTGGCAACATTCTTTTAAAATTGTAGGTCAATTGATATAAAAATACCAATTTCATAGTAAAATTAAGAGTGGCTTACTTTTTTTTTGGCCAACTCTATATATGCTTTTTAGGTTTTTTCTTCACTGCCCTTCCTTTGAAAGGGGAATTGATAGTTGTCTCTATTTGCTTTGTTGGGACAGCAGTACTAGCTATTGCCATAGCCTTCATCAAAACTGAATCCTCCTGTTACTAGTTGCTTCTTGCTGACATGCAAAGTTTTAAGGAATAAAGATTTTGCTTGCTTCACTTCACTATGGTTTGAGTAATATTGTCATTTGAGGCTAGTAACAGTTCTTATCAGCTCAATGGGAAGGGTGTGTAACCGCCTGTACTTTTGGATCCATTAAAAAATGTATTTTCTTTTTCTAGCTTGCAGGAGACATCCATGAGTACATTAGATACACGTGAGTTGTTTGCTGTTATCCTTATTTTGGGACATTCATACTTCAATGTACAATGTTAAACTACAGTTTGTGAAATGGAAGAACCAAATTAAAAGAGCAATCCACATTTGCATTGCTTACAGAAGTTGCAGAGGGAGCCATTGGAGTTGGAGAGGGAGGCCATGATATCAGAAACAAACCAGAGGGCCACACAGTTTCAAATGAGGAAGACTCTGAATTGGATGACCTTTATGACCGGGTAACTGAGCCAACTGGACAGTCAGAATCCAACCTAGAAGAAAGCCTCAATGATTTGGGTCAGATCCTTGGGCTTCGAATGAAGAGTGGAAATGATGGTGGTCGCCATCCTGCTATGGTGAATCATTCTGAAGAGCCATCTGCTCAAGAGGCAGTACTACCTAACCCTCCACAGAATATCTCAAACCATCCACCAGATGTAAGTTTCTAATGTGCTGATGTTGTTGATGGAGTTCATTTTGATGTATTTCAGTTGGTATTTTGAAGTTTTTTTCCTGTTGCATGTGGAATTTGAGACTGAGGAACTATTCAAAATTCTGGCTTATCTTGAAAATGGATTTTGAGATTTTCTTGTTCTTGGTGCTGATTCCAATTTGGAAGGAATTACTGCATGTTTTCACTGTATTCTTCCTACCTTTCTTTGATGTACTTTTTTTTAACATTTTGAACTTTTTATCTCCTTTCCCACACTCTCTTCTTGCTTTCTTCTTTCTGCATATCTCTCAATATTATTATGATTTGCCCAGAGGACCAGTAACTGTTAAGGAAGCAATAGAGAGTCTGAAACATCCTATCCTGGTTGATGCTGGATTAATTTTTGAATGGCAATAGACCTATTTGGCTTCTATAGTGACAAAGCCAAGAATACATGAGAAATGACAAAATTTGGCCAATGTGAAAGTTTTTCTCTGAGAGAAGGGTGAAACCCGATATTGCAAGTGGCATATACTGTGCCAAGGGAAACCTCCTTCCCATGTGTAGACTATTGTTAGTTCTAGTTCTCCTTTTACACATTCATCATTTGTTTTATAACAATAAATAAGTTTTTCCCTTAAAGATTACATTTTGAGAAAAACTGTGAGTTTGTCATATGGAGAATCTACAGGGTGTCTGAAAAGTCACTCCCTATTTTTAAATTGTTATTGCTCCTAAACTGAAGGAGATATTGTAACCGTTCTTTCACTGTTTTAAGCTTAATCATTACCATTCAACGGAATGGCCTGCTATCTACAGGGTGTCTGAAAAGTCACTCCCTATTTTTAAATTGTTATTGCTCCTAAACTGAAGGAGATATTGTAACTGTTCTTTCACTGTTTTAAGCTTAATCATTACCATTCAACGGAATGGCCTGCTCGAAGTCCAGATTTAATGCCATGCGACTTCTTTCTGTGGGGCTGGGCGAAAGAATTAGTTTAAAAATCAAAACCAAGGACCATTGATGAACTTGAAAAAAAAAATTGGTAATATTCTAGGCAATGCACCAGGTGACTTCTTGAGAAAATCTGTTGAAAATGTACCAGTAAGGTTACAGAAGTGTGTGGACAATGCTGGAGCCTACGTTGAATTTTAACTTTGTAATAAAGCTTTTCAATTTTGTTATAAAGTAAACGGTAAAAAATAAGCTTCAATTCAGTTAAAGAAATTTTTCAATATCTCCTTTGGTTTAGGAGCAATAACAATTTAAAAATAGGGAGTGACTTTTCAGACACCCTGTAGATAGACTTGATTGAATATAGGAATTGTGACTCTGCAAAGTTCGTCACCAGTAATTTAAGTTTTGCTACGGTCATACACATGGAAAGTGTAACATATAATCATTTGCTTCTGTAAGTCTTAAACTTCGCCCAATAATAAAGTGTAATGTTGGTTTTGTATCATGAAAATTTTCTGGCAAAGAAAAAAACAATGAATTAGAGGTACCAGGACTTCAGGTCTCTTGAAAGTAATGCTTGCCACCAATTTGCTATACTTACAATCTTATTGTAAGAGTCAGAATTGCTCGAAGATAATTTATGCGACTAATGCCCAAAAGAGTTTTGCTAGCTGAGGCATATCAAGTTTCTACATCTGGAGGCATTGCATGATGTCCATGTGTGCGTGTCTGCGACGGACATGCATGTCAATGTAACGTTCGCCACTATGGAATGATCCCCACGCTGTCTATTTTGGTATTTATATGACCTTCTTAGGGTCATAAACACACAGATTATAATTATTTTAAAGAATAAGAGAAGAAAAGAAACCATCGCTGCATTCAGAAATGAGGGAGGAAAGGTAAAGTTTAGCATAGAATGAGTGCGTCCCGTTACATCATCGGTGAAGCAGTAGGCGATGATGCAAGGTCCGTGCTTCATGAACCTCCCTTTGTGCATATAGGTGTATTCTATATACAGGAGTTCAACTGCTTCTGGATATAATCGGCTTATTTCGACAAACACCCCATACCCTTGCTTGGAAGTCTCTAAGTCACGATCCGCGGTTGAACGACCATCAAAAGCTCTTCAAAGAAATACGCTACCTTTTTTATTTTTGTTCTTTTCCTCTCTTGCCGATTCTTTAATATTGGACCTATGCCAAAGGGTCAAGGGGTTTTCCCTTGGGCACATTTCCCGAGGCAAGAAATCTGCAAACATGAGCTAATCACACTCCCTATGACCAGTGATGACTCATGTTGCATATTCAGTGCTCTTGCAAGCCTCGCACGCCCTTGTCGATCTCCCAACACTATCTACATACAATAGCTGCTAAATTTTTCATTCCTTCAAGTGCTAACAAGCTTCTGCCAGTTCATGCGTCATTCCTGCATTGCAATTTATTAGTGAATTGAAAGGTGTAACAGTAGATTCTCCATGTTCTCCTTTGAGAAATGAACTCACCAGGCTTGCAGCTTTTTCCACTGTATTCTATATTTCTTCGGCTTAATGAAAAACTGTTCTGAATTTGAGGAAGGTCCCATTCGTAATAATGACGACATGGTGCAACGTTCACGATGGACTAATTCTCTGGGGTGCAATGAAAGGAATGGGGTCAGTGTTACTATTTCACATGGATGTCGTATGTCCATCCCTATAATTGAATGAGGGAGGATGGACCCAATAGAAGGTGGAGGTCCCCGGGGTCAGGTGTAAATCCAAGGCCGTATATCCCCATAAACACATGATACAAAGAAGGAATATTGGAAGCGTGAGAGGCCCCCAGCTGACCGCCATGAAGGGTATCTCTATGTGGACGGGATCGTCGCATTGTTTCTCCATTCATGATGGATGGCACATGATCTGCTATCAAAAAATTGCGAAAGTGGGACTCACGGTTTCTTCCCTCCTCTCCTCCCTTGTAGAAATACGGGACAAACCTGAGACGTGAACTCCTGTCGTGTCCGGGGAACACCTCCCAGGCTACGGGATCAGAATCCCCATTCCCGAACAGCCCCCCACACATCACAGATGGTCATGACTACACGTATTGCCGATCACAGGAATGGTCGATGAGGGTCGTATCGGTTTGGGAATGACTTAGGGGGAAACTTCGTGATTTTGGCACGATGACTTAATAAAAAGAATAAAGCCTACACTCCTCGTCGTCTTACAATTCACTTAGCTTCAGGAGCGAACACAAAAATGGCCTGGCGAGTTGTCAACAAAAGTCTGTTGTCTATGAAGTAGACAATGTCGGTTACTCGATTTTCATATCACATTGCTGTTAACATTGTCAACATCAAGAGCACTTGTTCAGCAAGTCATGCCGCGAAGTGCGAAATTAGCACCCTTTCCGACCTCTCCCCCTCTTCAATTTTCCTTCTCCAGCTTCACCTCTCCTTTGCTCCTACTTTTCATATATTTATACTTCTTTTCTTTCTTTTTTACACTCCTTGCATGAAAATATTTTCTCTGGACTTCAATGTACGGATGGACTTCGATGGACTTCACTTCGGTCTCGTGACTATTTCAACTATACTATCTACTGAACCGCATGCTACAGAATCTCCACATCCTATGACTACGTAGTCCATCCAAATCTATGGTGATATATTACGGTAATATATTTCTGCTTGCTAATGACTACTTCGTCACACCTGTCTCTCGGTATTATTCTTATTCTTATCATATTCAATATTCTTATCATCCGCTTCTAATGCCAGTCCAAAGACTACAGGGCTATGTAGACGTATTTGCTCAAGCGATGATAACACTTTACTTCATGCGACTGATAAACTTTTTGGAAAGACAAGAAATTTATATCGCCAATTTCTAATCACTACCTTCATCGAATAGATGCTGCAGACAAATGTTCATTAAGTATTGCGACGTCTGTGAAGATAAAATAATCTATGCCAGTAATTTTTGCCATTTTAATTTAGTTCAGATTTTGATATATCTCGAGTCATAAGTTATCATGACTGTCATCGATAGCATTGCTGAATGTATCATGCTCTCTTAGAAAAAAGATAACTCTAACTCCAGTTTTCCTCCCTTTTTACTCTGATGAGAGCGAAAGGAGATGAAAATTACTTCGACGTGTATTCCATTTTATTCTTCTAAAGTAAAAAAAAGGGAAGATGCATGAGCAAAAAGAGAGGGAAACTGGAATTAGCACTCACCTCTTTTTAAGTGTGTGTAATGTATTCTATACTTTGGATTCGTACGTCATAGTTTTTTCTGAGGGCAAGCTACAATATATCATATAAATAAGTGGATATGTTCAGAGGCGGAAACAGATACACGAGCGCAAATTCATCATACTTAAGTATGCGAAAGGAGATAGGAATCAGAAGTCGCCACTGTTTCGCTAAATTTTAAATATATGTACAATAATGTTCTCCTTCCAATTAAGACTTTATGGATACATTTTGGAAGTCGATAACGTCACGGAAGTCTTGAAAATGAAAAGTCATCTAGTTCATCCAGTCTACAGGAAGCACCCCATTAAAGACTTGGTCCTCATAGAAGAATACAATTGAAAAGAGAAAGACAGTCTTACCAAGTGCCTCATGGTAGTTGACTAGAGAGAGAGAGAGGGCGAGAAGGTGTGTGGAGGTGTACACAGGGGGATCCCCAGAATGTGACTGAGAAGCCCCTAAGGGAGGAAGATTCCCTCTACCCAACTGACTCCAGTGGTGAAAGTTCGCATCTCCCATGCCTGCACACGAGAGCTCTATGGCCCTATGTCTGTCTCATTCAGTCGTCATTTTAAACTGTTCGAACAAACGAATGGGGTTTGGTTGGGACATCCTACTCATTCCCCCATATGTGGGTTGAAATTTCACTGAAAGCCAAATCAACCTTTCAGGAAAATTAAAATGGGCATGTTAAACGCCGTAATTCAGATATTATTATTTTATGAGGGTTTAAAAGTCTGCAGAAATCCTTCGTCAGAGCAATTTTCCTTCCGCATGTCAAAACTCGATCGATCCCTCAAACCAATTTTGTCATTCCTGAGAAGAGAGATGCCATTATAATATCAATGATACGCTCGGTACCATGCTTAAACCAGGCATGACGTCTGGGTGAACCACAACACGATTAGAAGGGAGTAGTTCGCGTCATTGCTTATTGAATTATTTCTCAACGGATGTGGAGAAATGTTCCAGGCAACATTCGTAACATTAAGATGCTCCACGGAGACTAGGCCTAGTTTGGGGACTCAATATGGGAACAGGACAATCTCAGGTAATCACGATCCTATGAATCTGCATGCAGGAAAATTCTGGGAATAGACAGCGTTCACAGGCCGATACACAGGGGAGGATGGCAATTAAGGACATTCGAGTGCTCTGTAACCATAGGGCACTCATGAACCGGAAGTACAGGACGTATCGTAACCTTTTCATCCCACTCTATAGGCAAAGCCAGAAGTGTTCTTCGCCTCGGGTTTTAGTCTGAAAGCTTTTTCAAATGGAACTATTTCGATTTATTTCAGATTTTTAAGAGGGAACGGCAAAGGATGATACACCGGATTTAATGCATAGCTCTCCGTGCCGAATCTAATGGACAATAGCTAATGAAATAATTGCGGATGATTGAGTTGTATTTGAGTGACGTGGGTGACCATACCACTAGACCTGCAACCATCTCATTCATGTGCTAAGTTTTTCAGCTTTCCACTCTGTTGAGAAACTTGAGCTCTTTATGTTGTGCACTTCATGGAAAACTATGCATCTTTTCTTGCGTGTCTCCTTGTGTATTTTCAATGGCTGGTCTTACTTAAAAATCTGAAACGAACAGAATTTGTTCCGTTTGAAATAAGCTTTCAAGTTATACCAACCTGAGACTGCTAACATTTCTAGTTAGCTTGTGGGGGGAGGAAAAGGTTATAAGAGACACTGTAAATTAGAAATACCATGTTGCTCCTGTACCGGGAAAAAAAGAAACGGATTTTCACATCTTTACTTTATTTTTCACTTTATATTTAATATTTTCTGGAAGGTTGTGCATACAGTTCCGGTTCAGGGCCGGTCTTAGGCATGTGCCACATGCCGCAAATTCACCAGGGGTGCTAAAATGTGCCAACATGAATGAAGTAATAATGAATGCCACCCTCGGTTTTATTTCAGAAACTAGAAATGCCTTCTGTTTCGCATCTTTTTGGACGCTAGGAATTAGCCCTTCTTCTATCGGAGGAAGTGGGAGTGGGAGTGGGGGGGGGGGGGGGGGGGGGGGGGGGGGGTTTTTTTTGGGGGGGGGGGGGGGGGGGGGGGGGGGGGGGGGGGGGGCGTCGGGAGTCTTTTTGCACAGAACGCCGAAATAGCCAGGGCCGGTGCTGTTGCGGTTAGACAGCATTCACTTCCTCTTTAGTCGAAGGATTTAAGAAAATGAACTTGAAAGCGTTTCAACCGAGAATGTCACGTGCAAATGTCTTTTTATGCATAGCCATGTCAGAACAGCTAGCTAACAGCTACATTAGCTGCAAGGCCAGCATATGGGGAAACGGATAGAATATTCCAACATTTTAAATGTTTATTTTAAAATGTACTGTACCGTCATATACACACAGGGCACTATCGACTTTGATCGTTGAGGAAAGGCAGAGCCGACATTCAGCTCATGGATGCCCCATGTCTCCTATTACTGCATCGTCATGATACACTCTGCCGCCTCCCTATCTCACTCTAGTCGATCGTTTTTCATCCTCATCAAAGCAGACGCTCGGAAACAATATGTCTATCCGCAGAGATATATTTAGTTTTTTTTTATTATTTCTTATTTTATATTTTAGAGCGATGGAGACTCACCCATTTGCGATCCAATCAAGAAATTGTAAGCTGGATCACTTGGAAGGTGAGACGATCCGACATCGCTTCGAGTGGGGATGCGAGACGTCGCGCCGTATCTTGGCAGAACTGTTCTCCGAACCTAACCGTCATCTATCGCCGTCTCTTTTACGAGACTCTACGAAGAAGGGAATGGTCGCTCATACTTTCGTCAGAACAGAGCCGTGGATAGAGAGTCAGGATATCTTCCTGCATGGACGCCATTTAGACTCCTCAAGGTGAGCGCAAGAAGAAAAGTTATCCTAAGTGTCAGTGACGTACGCTCTCTCGTGTTTCATTTTCTACACCCAGCATGCGAACATTGGGAAAATTTGCCATCAATAGTGAAATATGTAACTGCATCTAAATCACATTCTTCATGGTTCGTGTTACCATAACATTGAAATGAAAGTACTACTGTTGTTGAATTACCGAGAATAGTCCTACAAAGCAGTGCGGTATTCCCGTGGTATTTTTTTCCATTCTAGCTGCTCCCACTCATACTGTGGCACCCCCAATATCACTGTATTAGGCCAATATCGGCCTAACATAGGTATAAAATACTGTGCTCCTGGGGACATTTGAAATTCGGTCTGGCAAAAAATAATAATCACGTTAGTCCTTTTCAACCGTTCATTGAAGCAGGAAATTTAAAATGAACTTTTCGAAGCTTAATCTTTTTTTGTTCAATACCTTGATTACAACGCTCCTGGGGCTCTGATTTGACGATCATAAAAAGTGCAAGGAATAAATCAGTTAATTGAGTGAAGAAAAGTTGGAAGTAACAGGGATTACACGAGGAGAATAGTCTGCTGGAAAAGCTTTTTTTCTGTTGGCAAAGTCTTGCATGACAACACTTTTGGTGTCCTAGTAGAGACAGCTTCCACTCTCCACTTTTTCGTTAAGACTTGCTCGTCCAGAAATTCGGTTCTCATTGCGATATTGTGGCACTGGAAAGATGAACTCCTCTTTCTGGCGAACAGTAAATGTGAGATATCGTTTCGCATTTGCTCTATCCTTTATGCTTTAAGAATAGCCTCTTCGGCAAGCTTGAATATTTTCTCGACTTCCGAGGATGAGGGAAAGACAATTTGAAAAAGATAAATGAGACTACCTATCTTTGATGCCTTTGCCTGGGAGGGAATGATTCTTCTCAATTCTTCATACCAAATACCCGCGCAAATCGCATATTTGATATCGATCCAGTTGCTTCCATCCCAGACAGCACGAAATTGCATGCATAGCCATATTTCTCCTTTACCTCT